TTCGGCTTTGAAACGGAGATGAGCACCACACCCTAGAGTCGGATTCGACTGGCTTTTGAGCAAGGGAAACCTTTACCTAGTGTACATAGGAGTGCAGGGTTTTTCTTAGAGGTGTTGGCTTGGATCTTGTGATGTGCAAGTGGAAAGATAAAAGGACATAGTGCAGATCGACTAGCACAAGATCTTGTGCAACGCATAGTGCTTTCCTCTGTATTACGTGTGTATGTGTTAAGTGCTGTCATGTCACTTTGACTTATGGCAACCGTATGAATTAATTACCTCCAAAACATCCTCTCATTAACAGGCTTCCTCAGGTCTTGCAAACTGAGGGCCATGGCTTCCTTGATTGAGCCAATCCATCTCATGTTGGGTCTTCCTCTTTTCCTGCTGCCTTCAACTTTTCCTAGGATTATTGTCTTTTCCAGCAACTCTTGTCTTCTTATACTTGCACCAAAATATGATCGCCTCAGATCCATATATAATAAGGGGGAATACCACATGAATTGCCTTAATCTTGGTCATCAGTAACACATCCTTACACTTAAGGACCTTTTCAAATTCCTTCATTGCTGCCCTTCCCAGTCTCAATTTCATTCTGATGTCTTGGTTGCAGTCTCCCTTTTGGTTGATGGTGGAGCCAAGGAATAGAAAAACACAAATAAACAAACAAACAAACACAAACACAACCTTTATTGGCATATAAAATCAATAAGATAAAACTTCGTCAAGGTAAAATTACATCTGTAAGTCTTAAAAAAACCAATATTAGCAATAGTTCCTTGCTACCAAAATCAAAAAATTGCCGCATGGTGGAGTGAGCTTCCGTCTCTAGTTCCAGCTCCTGCCAACCTAGCAGTTCGAAAGCAATAAATTGCAAGTAGATAAATAGGGACCACTTCGGTGGGAAGGTAACAGCATTCCGTGCACCTTGGTGTTTAGTCATGCTGGCCACATGACCACGGAAACGTCTTCGGACAGCGCTGGCTCTTCGGCTTTGAAATGGAGATGAGTACCGCAACCCTAGAGTCGGACTCGACTGGCTTTCGAGCAAGGGAACCTTTACCTTTACCAAAATCTTGGACAAAAAATCAGCAGTCTGTACAGTAACTTCTGGTGACTTATCAGCTAAAAGAAACCTAATTGCACTATCAGAATTGGCCCTAAGCAGTAAAGGCTTAATCAGAAGTAGTCAGAGATGTGAGTAAAAGGGGCAGCATAGCAGAATATAAAGTATCAGATTCTCTGAGTGGACAATTGCAAACCCTATCGTTTCGAGATGCCTTTATATCTACCTGAGACCCAAAATGAGGGAAAAACATTAAATCTGGCTAGCATAAGGGCTCTGCGTTGCAGTGGGATCACCAAATTAGAAAAGTATTGTGCCATACTGTTTGGTACATATCTGAGGCCAAGGGAAAGGGGGGAACAAATGCCTCTGGCACCTGCTTGGATTGTTTGGGCTTCAATGTCTCAAATTCTTCTACGAATTGTCCAATATATAAGGGTCTCATCTTGATTTTCCAAAGTATCCAGGTTGATGCCAATTGAGCGTATTTTAGAAAAACGTAAACAGTTTCAGTTTCTGCAGTTCCTCAGTAGTCCTTACTTTTGTCTGCTTATTATAGCACCCAGGAATTGGTTGCGCCCAGATCTCATGCCAGTGGATTGTAAGCAGGGATACAATAAAGTTCATTTAGCACAAGTGACTATCACAGTCTTTTCCTTGCATGTCCGCTTGTGCAGAAAGCTCTAGAGCCAGTGGAACAACCCATTATTTCTGTGTATGAAAAACAAAAACCTGTTGAGTGAAGCAGCTGTTAGTGACTGAGGAGTTACATGAACCTTTCAGAGGGAGTTGGGTGGAATATGAAACTGTGTATGATTGTCATGGTGTGTATGTAAGAGGTAGGAGTGAACATCCCATATTTCATTTATTTTTACGTTGTTTGCATGTTTGTCAATGGTTTCCCTTCTCCACATTCTTCTGTGGGTTTGTAGATTTATTTGCATCATATATGCATATTGTACAGGGTTTTTTTAATACAGATTTTGTATGCCCTCTATTGGACACACATTCCACCCCTCCATACTTCTTTCCCCCGCTTGCTGTTGCCTCCCCCTTCCCTCTGTCACTGTCCTTGTGTCCTCCTCTTCTTCCTCCTCTTCCTCATCCCAGCTACTGCCGCTGAGGCCCTGTGCCAAATCTCCAGGCAGGTGCCTTGGCAAGCATTATGTTTGCTATGGCAACTCACAATAGTGGTTGAACTTGAGCCAGAGTTTCTTTTTTTAAAAGTTTGCACTTGCACAGAAATTGTAATTAAATGGAGGGTGTGTGTGTGAGGCAGTTCCATCTCCATTTTTGGGGGACAGTTTTAGACTCTCTACCACCACCGCCCCCCTTGCAAACCTGGGCATTCTCTCAGGTTTACGGAGCATGCAATGGTAGCTATGGCTGGTCCCGTTGCACAGATTTCACGATTTGCGCAAGGATTAGCCCTGGTCTTAGATATATGGTGATAGTATGTGTAAAATGCTAATAGGCTGACACAGAAATAATGTTGGAAATGGTAAACGCTTTATGAGAAAAAGATGGTGTGAGGAAACAAAAAATGGCACAAAAATAAGGAATCAAAGGTTCAATCCACACAAGTAGACAACAAAATTAAACTAGATATTTCAACTTATTGATAGCCCACTAACCTCTCCAATGGGGAGTGATTCAGTGTGGCTTATAGCATCATTCTCCCCTCCTCCATTTTACCCTCACAACAACAACCCTGTGAGGTAGGTTGGGCTTGAGGCCACAAAGGGGTGTTTCTGTGGCAGAGTAGAGATTCAAACCTGGGTGTCCCAAAGCCTCCTCTGACCACTGTACCAGTTCTGGCTTGCACATTTTCAAGCCGAAGCTGCAGAATAATTCCTGTCTCCCTATTTTCAAATTCCTTTTTCTTTGTGACACAGAAATGCAGTGAGCCATCTTGACTATTGGGAGAGGAATTACAAAATATGTAGACACGTAAATAACTGAGCTGTGATGGCTCAAGTGGTTAAGACGCTGAACTGCAGGCTGTGGAAGGTCAGTAGTTCAGCAGTTCAAGACCCGAGTGTGCCGCATGACGGAGTGAGATCCCATCTCTAGTTCCAGCTCCTGCCAACCTAGCAGTTCGAAAGCAATAAATTGCAAGTAGATAAATAGGTACCACTTCGGTGGGAAGGTAACAGCGTTCCGTGTGCCTTGGTGTTTAGTCATCCCGGCCACATGACCACGGAAACATCTTCAGACAGCGCTGGCTCTTCGGCTTTGAAACAGAGATGAGCACCGCAACCTTAGAGTCGGATTCGACCGGCTTTCGAGCAAGGGAACCTTTACTTTAAATAACTGAAGTATGTAAGCAAATAAATACATTACTGGGAAAAGAGGAAGTGGTCTTGTCAGATCAGTGGAAACATTCAGATCCTCACTCTGCCAAGAAGCACGCTGTATGACTTCAGCCTCATCTCTCAGCCTCATCTCTCAGCCTCTCTCAGCCTTGTCTACTTCGCAGGATTGTTGGGTGGATTGGATCTGGGAGGGAGGGAAAGCCATGAAGCCTTCTGAGAGAATTTAGGCCACTCATTCTTTCTCAGCCTACCCTACTTTTTAGAATTCTTGTGAGGATTAAATTGGGGGAGGGGGCATGAATGCCACCTTAAGATCCTTGGAGAAAGAGTGAGGTTTTTTTGCATGGTGATAGTTTCCAACAATCTTCAAAAATTATATAGAACTCAGATTGCATTTATACTGATGTCTTTTCTTTTTATGGCTGATGCCTTTTACACTTCAGGCAATTGAGTGCTCTAAGTTTGTATTTCAGTTAAATATATATTTCCAGTGTTATCTCTGGGGTATGTGCATAGGGTAGACTTTTGCACAAAATTGGCTTCTGTGTCTTATTTTCTCTTCCTTGCCTCATTGGTTGCACCTGTAGCCAGTTTAGATGTACACTGGCCATACACATGATAGGTTGCAGCCAGAACAAAGGAAATACACTTACTTCCTCACCCACCTGAAGTGTTTATCTTACTGCTGACACCAGTGGGCATCCATGGAATAGAGTAATGTGCAATGTGGGGCGGTATAAGGTGGCTCAGTTAACAGTGTTCCGTGCACCTCGGCGTCTAGTCATGCCAGCCACATGACCACAGAAACGTCTTTGGACAGCACTGGCTCTTCAGCTTGGAAACGGAGATGAGCACCGCGCCCTGGAGTCAGATTCGACTGGCTTTCGAGCAAGGGAAACCTTTACCTTTACCTAAAACCAAAGTACCATGTATGCTACCTTGACCACCAATGGTGGCCTTGACAGATGACTGGTCTGGTTCAGTTTCATGTGTCCACAGGCTTTATAGCAGGGGTGTTGAATTCATTTGTTATGAGGGCTGTATCTGACATAAATGTCACTTTGTTGGGCCGGGCCATGCATGTAACACAAAGTACTCTCTAGTACTTTGTGTTACATTTTATGGCACCCATGGCCCGGCTCAACAAAGTGGCATTTATGTCAGATCCAGCCTTTGTAACAAATGAGTTCGACACCCCTGCTTTATAGCTTTTCGAAAGCATGGGCTCCCATGCCACATGAACATATAGACCTGCCTTATACTGACAAACCATTGATCCATTAAGGTCAGTGTTGTCTACCCAGACTGGTAGCAGCTCTCCATGTTGTTAGGTAGAGGTTCTTCATATCATATGCTACGTGATCCTTTCAACGGGAGATGCCAGGGATTGAACCTGGGACCTTCTGCATGCAAAGCAGATGCTCTGTCATGGAGCCATGGCCTCTCCCTTCTGACCGTGACCTCCTAATCTCATGGTAGTTTCTTAACTAACGGCCAATGACAGTAACTTTCTGACAAAGTCGCTACCTTGAGGTTTGCTTTATCTCAGTCACTGCGATTAACCCTTCTGTGGTTTCCGTTTGGTCTCTGCCACAGGTGAGTTGAATTCCTGCCCTACCATGGAGCCCTCTGAAAGCAGCATGAACCAAACCATCAATTCCACCAGGAACCTGACTTACTCTCCCTATTACCAGCATTCCCTGTCTGTTGCAGCCATCTACATCGTTGCCTACCTGTTCATCTTTGCCTTGTGCATGGTTGGGAATGGCCTGGTTTGCTTTGTGGTGCTGAAAAATGCCCGGATGAGGACTGTCACCAATTTATTCATTCTCAACCTGGCCATCAGCGATTTGCTGGTGGGAATCTTTTGTGTGCCTACCACACTAGTGGACAATTTAATTACAGGTAAGGAAAAGAGGGGGTGAGGGGAAGAAAGTGGAAAACACTACTGAAACCACACCGAATCATTATGTAAATAAGGGCTTATTCATACTGACTGTACTTACAAGAAAACAAAATCAAAAATTTTAGACACCTGTAGATCATCATTTGCCCTGACCTGGATAGCCGAGGCTAAACTGATCTTATCAGATCTTGGAAGTGACGAAGAGGGAGAGATTGGATTTATACTCCACGCTCTCATAGCAGCTTACAATCACCTTTCCCTTCCCCTCACCACAACAAACACTCTGTGATGTAGGTGGGGCAGAGAGAGCTCTTTGAAGAACTGCTCGTGAGAGAACAGCTCAGAAAGCGCTTATGACTGACCCAAGGTCACACCAGCAGCTGCATGTGGAGGAGTGGGGAATCAAACCTGGTTCTCCCAGATTAGAGTCCGTGCTCCTAAGCACTACACCAAACTGCAGGGTCTGCCCTGGTTAGTATTTGGATGGGAGCCCACCAAGGAATACCAGGGATGCTATGCAAAGGCAGGCAGTGGCAAGCCACCTCTGAACATCTTTTGCCTTGTCTCTATAAATTGGCTGCAACTTGACAGCAAATGGGGGGGGGAATCATTATTTGGGTTAAATGCCAACATACGCAGGGCTTTCCCATGTGACCGTGCTTTCCTGCAGAAGCCCAGGGTGTCACTGCAGCTGCCAGTGTAGCACAGCAGCAATGGAGCTTCCAGATGGCAACATTCCCTACATTTCCCCTGCCCCAGTCCCCGTGGCAGCCTCTCCCCCCATGCTACTTGGGCAGTCTTTTTCTGAGTTTTTTTAAAAAAACTGGTAATGGACATACTGACATACCCTGGTGGTGGTGGTGTGTGCGTGTGTGGTGGGCTGCTGTGGGCAGCAGGGCAGGAGAAAAGGCATCTGTGTGGGCAGGGCCAGGGAAATCCAGACCTCCCCACCCATGTGGCAGCCAGCCCAAAGCATCATGGGAAAGCAGGTTAGCGAAAGACTGTAGAAAAGTCAAGAGAAACCTGGGTGGTGCACATAAGAAGTGCAATGCCATGGGGGAAACGAGGGGGGGGGGATGCCATCAAACCAAGGGCAAATCATCTCTGTGGATGCAGCCTTATTGAGCGCTTAGGTCCAGCACTGACAATGGAGCAAAGATCATGAGGAAGGACTTCCCTGTCTGCCTTGTTCTGCTGCAGCCCATTGAGTCCCCCAAATCCCACTCCCGGGGGAGGGGTCAAGGGATCCTCATGAACAGTGAATGGTGGAACAAGTGAGAATCTCACCCTCCCTTGGCCAGCTTTTAGATCCAACCCTTAATTCACACACACACACACACACACACACACACACACACACACACACACACACTCAGGATAAACTCAATATGTCAACTCCGTTCTGTTAATAAGATTTAGTCCTGAGCAATATGCTGAAGAACTCTTGCATATTTAAGTGGTTTTCTTAAGAGCCAAACCTCACTTGATGTGGGGAGATCGTGTGCATTTATTCATGACTCTGCCGATCTTGTCTAAAGCAAGATGGGTGAGTGGGTGAGTTTTAGTTTTTACAGAAAAGCAAGATGGTGGGCTGAAGGTAGTTACATCTTCCCCTGACTGTGTCCCCTGGTTCAAGGTATTTTTCTCCCAACCAGGCTCTGATATTGGGTATGAGCTTGGCTGCAAGGGGGAAAAAGGCAAGGAAAGGGGAGGAAGCAGGGCTCAGCTCCCCTCACCTACACATTTGATTTTCAGTAAAAATGAATAAGTGCCTGAAAATGCTAGGAGTGAGCACTGTGTGGATCTTCCCCATAGTCCTCTCCCTAAGCTTCTTTCTCCCTGTTGAGTACATGTCCATTATCGGGGTTCAGGTGCTGAGAAAAGTGCTTGGGAAGGAAAAATGTTGGAAGTTAAATCGGGCAGGGGAAGGGTTCCGTGTGTCTCGCTTCCATGCCCCCTCCGCAGCTAAAATCAGACACTCTCCTCTTTGGGGACAGTTGACTCTTGAAACCCATAGATCTACTATCAAGAGCTACACTCTGACAATTTCTGCAGTATGTCCTTAATGCTCTGAAGCTCCATGGGAAAGTCTGTTTTAATGCTGCGAGTCTGCAGCACTATTTCCACAATACAGGGCTTTCCTGTGGCATTTCCTTTGCTCATCATGAGTCCCCACACATGCTCAGGGAAGACTGCACACAAGTGAATCCCCCCCTCCCCAGAAGAGATTTACTCCATGACATCATTTTGTGCAGTTTTCTTCACAATAAAATGTGAAAACCTTTTTTAAAAAAATTCATGCAGTGAGAACCAACGTTGGAATGCAATATAAGTAGCGTAATAATGCAATTGCCTTGGACTATTTAAAAAAAACACAAAGAAAATGAATGGAAACAATAAGCTAATTAACCAGAAACTGTTCTGCAATAACGTGGGGTTGGAGGGTGGGACATGCAAATATGGAGGGGAGGGGAGAGTGGACCTAGTGTTGAAAAACACCAGATGAGAAAGATTTCCCCACTAGGTTGACGTGGGTTCAGTGCTGGGATTACAAAAACTTCCCAGAAACGGGATTCGGATGCTGCATGGCAGGGGGGGGGAAGAGTGCGTTTTTATGCCTGGGGGGGCAAAATCATCTGCAGAAACCAGGGAAAGCCGTGCATCTGCAAGAAGTGCAGCAACAGCATCTGCAAGAAGTGCAGGTGTGGGGAAATCTGACACTGCGGAATCCGTCTGTGAGTGGGCGACAGGCAGCCTCAGTGGCTCCTGTGCTTGAAGTAGAACCATCCAAAAAATACAAGGAGGACCAGTATAGAACCATCACCTACAGGGGGAGTTGACCTGCTTATTTGCACCCTTGCGCTCTCCAGTTTGGTGCAGTGCTTAAGAATGGCAGGACTCTAATCTGGAGAACTGGGTTTGATTCCCCCACTCCTCCACATGAAGCCAGCTGGGTGACCTTGGGCCAGTCAGAGTTCTCTCAGAACTCTCTCAGCCCCACCTACCTCACAGGGCGTCTGTTGTGGGGAGGGGAAGGGAAAGGACATTGTAAGCCATTCTGAGACCCCTTCGGGTAGTGAAGGGTTATCGTGAGAATAAAACAAGGAAGGAGAGAATGTTATAAGCCATTTTTGGTCTCCACTGGGAGAAACGTGGGGTATAAATGAAATAACTAATCGCCAGAGATAAGAACCTTTCCTTGGGGAATGTCGATGACACTAAATCTCTGAAGGATGTCTGCAAAGAGTGGGATGCCTGAGGTGGATGGCCAGTTGGGTTGCCAGCCTCCAGATGGTACCTGGAGATCTCCTGGAATTGCAACTGATCTCCAGACTACTGAGAACAGTTCCCCTGGAGAAAACGGCTGCTTTGGAGGGTGGACTCTATGGCACTGTCCCTCACTGAGGTCCCTCTCCTCTCCAAACCCTGCTTTACCCAGGCTCTACCCCCAAATCTCCAGGAGTTTCCTGAGTCAGAGTTGGCAACCCTAATGACCAGACAGAAATGTGATGGGAAGGACCATTTGCTCCACTGTATTTGCAGATGACTTGCATTTGATGGAAGGATTCTGCCTCTGTCTTTTGTCCCTAAGTGACTGAGAGTGCAGCTGACTGGCTGGTCTCCCTGTGTGGAGCAAAAAGCCTATTAAAAGCTGGCAATGAGTGAGTGAAAATGTGCCTGTCAGTGAGCTGACTTCTGGCTGATGGCTCTGCGTGCTTCTTGTCTCCTAGGCTGGCCCTTCAGCAACAGCATCTGCAAGATGAGTGGGCTCGTGCAGGGCATGTCTGTTTCATCCTCTGTCTTCACCTTGGTGGCAATCGCTGTGGACAGGTGAGACGGTGACTATCCCTGAGATGGAGCAAATTGCATGTGTTGCAGCCTCAAGGACAGTGCCCTGTGGACAGACTGAGGCCTGAAAGCATTAGAGAAAGGGGGAGGGATAATAATTGGGGGGGGAGAGAACTATAAGGTGGATTATCAAGGTTAGAGGACCTTAACATGACTTGCCATCCATATAGGCTTGCCCACCTGTTCTTCGCCTCAAGGAATGGGTCCTTATTTATTTTGGAAGCATTCGTGGAAAGATGTGTGCTATGCAGTACAAATCCTATGCAGAGTTACTCCAGTTTAAGCCCACTGACTTCAGTGAGTTGCCCTGTTAATTTAATACATCACGCAAGGTCAATGTATTCTAATTAAGCCCACTCATTTCAATAGATGGCCTGTTAATTTAATATATCATACAAGGTCAATATATTCTAATTAAGCCCATTGGTTTAATTGGGTTGCCCTGTTAATTTAATACATCACACAAAGTCAGTATATTCTAATAAAGTACAGGTAATGTTTTGACATAGGTAAGATGTCATTTCCTGACGATCTTGCAGTATGCTTCTCATTCTGAGCTCTTCACATGGCAGCCTTAAGTACACGGAATTAGATCACTAAGTAATACCAGCAATAGGCGTCGTTTCAGACTAGTTATTCTAGCCCTACATCTGAAAGTGCAAAATGTTCCTGAGAAGGGAGCCAAGATAAATCTGAACAGAAAATTAGACTCGTGCTATGAAGATCATGACCTGACCCAGATCACCCAGGCTGGCCCGATCTTGTCAGATCTCAGAAGACTAAGCAGGGTCAGCCCTGGTTAGTACTTGGATGGGAGATGACCAAGGAACTGCAGAGTTTCTATGCAGAAGCATACAATGGCCAACCTCCTCTGAACTTACTGAGAAATGTGGACCATAGAGGATATCAGTGGCTTGATCTATGTTTGGCTTGAAGCTGGGGAGGGACCTCCTTCACCCCTCTCCATGCCTGGCTCAGTGACTGAGACCTCATCCTTCTACTTGCCATTTCTTTTTGACTCCACAGGTTCCGCTGCATCGTGTATCCGTTTAAGTCAAAGCTCACCCTTTTCCAGGCCCTCAACACCATTGCCATCATCTGGGTGCTGGCCATCACCATCATGTGTCCCTCTGCCGTCATGCTCACAGTCGCTCAGTTGGAGGACAGCTACATGGTCTATGATGACAATCGGAGCATGGCTTACCCCTTGTACTCCTGCTATGAGGCCTGGCCTGACAGCGAGATGCGCAAAGTCTACACCACAGTCCTTTTTGTCCACATCTACGTAGCCCCACTGATTCTTATCACATTCATGTATGGCAGGATTGGGTTTAAGCTGTACAGGTCTTCAGGCCCGGTGAGTCGGCACCAGGTGGTAAGTGAAGATCGGTGCAGTACGGTGGTCTCCAGGAGGAAAGTCAAGGTCATTAAAATGCTGATCCTAGTGGCATTGCTCTTTATGCTCTCCTGGCTTCCCTTGTGGACACTGATGCTGCTTACAGACTATGTCAAACTGGAGGACCAACAGATCAATCTGTTGACTAGTTATGTCTTCCCCTTTGCACACTGGCTTGCCTTCTCCAACAGCAGCGTCAACCCCATCATCTATGGTTACTTCAATGAGAACTTCAAGAGAAGCTTCCGGGCAGCCTTCAAGCTCCAGAGTTGTTCTGATGAGATGGTCCATCAAGAGGCATATCCTGAAAGGACAACTGTCAGCACCAGTGGCCTTGGTGCTCGGAACAAAATCTTCACCGACGGAGACTCCTCAGACTCGGTCTGCTTGAAGGATTTGCACCCTAAAGCTTCTTGCGCCCTGCAGACTGGATGTGACCAAAGACAAGGACTTCATGTTGAGGATATTGGTGACATCACACCCCTGAATAAAGTCTGCAAAGCCTGGGTCGCCTGAGAGGGAGGGCTTGACAGAAATTTGGCCAAGAAGGACCAGTTTCTTTCCTGAATCTGCAGCTGACTTGCATTGATGGAAGTAGTAGAGTTGCCACTGATTCATAACTTACCTGGATTCTAATACACATGTAGGAACAGCTCTCACATCACATGTGTTTTGGAAGTTCCAGTGGCCATTTGGCCATGAGATCTATTATTGAGGGTCATGCTATACGTGATGCAACAGTTGCATGAGTTTGGGAATATCTTACTTTTAAAAAGTTAAGATACTTAGCAGCCCTACATAGATCTGTCTTGAAGAATTTGGAATGAGTCGCTGCTGGATAGTCTTGAAACCCTTCCCTTCCTTGCCATTTCTATATGTTAAATAGCCCCTCCAAACTTGCCATTAGCTCCACAGGAAGGAAAAGGGACAACAAGAGATTCGAAGCATGAAACTTTGTCATCATGCATATTTTGGCCCTCAGTTTGACTCTATAGTTTTCTGCTTGGACTATACAAGGGGGATACTTGGTTCTTTTGACATGTATAAGCTTTGTTGTAGGGTTGTCAATCCCATGTACTGCCTCAGTTGGCCACTTTCCCCTACCCCCTCCATTGGATGCACAAGGCTTCTTGCAGGGGATCTGCATGGTTTTGATCTGCTCTAAGTCTGCAACACTCTGAGCCTTTTTGCTGTGCCTCAGCAACCCTGCAAATTGCAGTTTTGCGATGATGATGCACAGGTTTCATCATCCTGTCTAATTTTTTAAAGTGTGCACAGCATACTATAAGCTCAGTTTCTTGATGAACTGGATTAAGTTAGCATAAACCTAAATCCTTGGTTTAATTGGACTTTGTGGATTGGACTTGTGCATCTAGTCTGTCTGAATTGAAAGTGTTAACAGACGAGCCTGTGCCTTCTTTGATGTAAGCTAGCCAAAACCATACCCTGGCTGACTGTAAAGAAAATGTACAAGTCCTAAATGATACGTGTATGTGTGCATGCATGTGTGTGTGAGCAAAAGGAGTTGTGGAAAAAGTGCCGGTCTCTTATTTGTCACTGGGAGGTTCAGTGCAGTCTTCATAGGAAAAAGCAGAAGGGGTTTCTTTGCAACAGTACTTATTTACAGGCTGAGTGGGGTTTGGGGAATGCAGAAAGAAGCCTATAAGTAGGCAAAGGCATTTCCACAGCAACATCCCTCATGGCCTCCCAAATACCAAGTGCAGCGAAATTCATTCATTTCTTCCCAAGACTCGTAGCTACTCTTCTGCCAGCCTGCACCAATGTTTTCCACTCCCTCTTCTCTTGCCAGTGGGTCTGATTTTCAGATACATTCCAGGTGGCTTGGGACAAGTGCTGTCTTACTGCAGCTAATTGCCCAATAATCAGCTTACATTGTGCTTGTCCGGCTAGAAGGTTCCACTTATGTTCAAAAGCGAAGGAAATGTGCTCAGCTTTGCATTGCAGAAGCCTGCAGTTGTAGCAGTATTTAAGCACGAAGGGACAATGAATTTCAGAGAAGTTGGGACATTTGGAGGGGAGAGAGGGAGGAGCTTGGCTTGATGGGGAATGGATCTGAAAGATTCTCCTCCTCCTGCTTGCCAAGTATTTCTGCAGCAGGTATAGAGATCTGCCTGAGACCCAGTTTGGTGTAGTGGTTAGGAGCATGGACTCTAATCTGGGAGAACCGGGTTTGATTCCCCACGCCTCCACATGCAGCTGCTGGTATGACCTTGGGTCAGTCACAAGTTCTTTCAGAGCTGTTCTCTCAAGGGCAGTTCTTGGGAGAGCTCTCTCAGCACCACCTACATCACAGGGTGTCTGTTGTGGGGAGAGGAAAGGAAAGGAGATTGTAAACTGCTCTGAGGCTCCTTTGGGTAGTGAAGGGCAGGGTATAAATCTAATCTCCTCCTCCTCCTCTTTCTCCTTGTTTCTAACAACTCAGCTGGGAAAGCAAAAGAGCCCTTTTGAGGGCAGAATGTGGCAGGGGTGGATGCAAAGTTTAGAGCTGAAGGCAGAGCTTAGCAGGGCCATAGCTATGGTGGGGCTTTTGGGGGCTCTGCCCCCTCTCTTAAAGGCACAGCCTCAGACAAATTTATCCAGAAAATGCATTTTTTAATAATTTTAAATCATTTTTAAATATTTGTTAAAAGGCGCGCTCCAGTGTGGCACACAAACAGAGGAAGCAAACAAGTGGTTCCAAATGGTGGCTTGGTATGAGCTTGCCATAAACCAGAGTACTACAAAAAATGCATCTCTGGTAGCCCCACCAGAAAAAAATTTGCCCCACAAGCCAGAAAATCCTGGCTACGGGCCTGAAGCTTAGCTCCATCCACTTCCCGTTGGGTCTGCATGTGGAGCATCCCGAGGGGTGCTCCAACTGCCACCATTCCACAGTTTCTCCTTTGAGATGGTTTAAAGGAGGTTTATTTTTTAATCTGTATCAAAGGGGAAGCATAAAACAAACTGTGCCAAGATCTGTGCCAAGATTGGACACAATGTCAGCTGGAAGCTTGCAGATATTGTAGGGGTTTCTTGCTGCTCATGTGTGGGGGGGAAGTCCTGTATGTAAGCTTTTGAGGATGTGCTGTGGGAATCCATGTTCTAGCCAGCAGAAATTGATATGGGTTTCTCTGCAGAACATGAAAAAGACAAAGGCATAGCTGAAGGTAATGAAATCTGACTGGTGGCTTGAAGGAGGAAGGAGAAGTTCAAGGCAAAGATGAGCATTGACTCCCTTTGGACACAGATTTCTCACAGCGCACAGTTTATTTATTTACAAGATTTATATCTCAATCAGGGCCACCAAGGGAGCTACCAACTAAAAACACCCATTAAAACACAGAGCAAGAAGGAAGGATCACTCAGGGCCACCAAGGGAGCTACCAACTAAAACACCCATTAAAACACAGAGCAGGAAAGAAGGATCATTGAAGGAATGCCAGGTGTAGCAAAAAAGTCTTCACCCACTGACAGAAGACAGTGCTGGAAGAGGACAGACAAATATCTCTGGGCCAGGAGTCCTCCTATTGTAATGCCATCAAGAAGGGCCCCTCTCAGGTTGCCACCCATCTAACCTCAGAAGGTGAGGGCATCCGAAACAGGGCCTCAGAAGATAACCCTAGTGGTCAGATAGGTTTATATGAGGGGGTGGGGGCTTAAGGTACACTGGCCCTCAGCCATATAGGGCTTTAAAGGCCAATACCAGCACCTTGAATTGGGCCCAGAAACAAATTGAGAGCCAATATAGATGGATCAAGCCTGGAGTGATGGGTCCCTCTGACTCACTCCAGTCAACAGTGCTTGGAGAAATCCTACATTCCATATATGTGCTAAAACCACAGGAGAACTTCTGCCTTGGTTTGCTCAAATTGGCCAGAGTCTTGGATTGCTGAAGAAACTATGTGTGCCCTGTTAGAGTTTTGTCTGGTCACCTGACTTTCCATATTTACAATTTTTCAATTACACGCCGAGATTTGTGTGTGTCTACTTTTGTGCGTGTTTACTTTCTGCAGTTGTACTTCATCATGGCTATACTGCAAGCACTGCGTACTTCTAACCCATAACAGGACTGGCTGAAAGGTCAGCAAATGTACCCAGAGGACTATTGGCAAATTCATTTGGGGTCATAGCTGGGTGGTAGAACACATGTTTTGTATAGGAGCTCAGGTAACCATAGAGGGAAGAATCTCTGCCTGACACCCTAGACAGCTTCTGTCAGTATGAATGCATGCCCCTAGACCAGACAGGTGTATTTGACTCAGTATGGCAGCTTTACCTGTATGCATACCAATTTAAGACTATCTGTTAGCTTGACATATTTGAAACTATCACTTGGGAAATGAGTGTATCTTGATTTCTGATTCATAAAAATAGGAGGCATTATTTATAAGGATGGGGTCGTGTATCATTAAAATGAGGGAATGCTGAATACCGTCTCTGACTGATATAAAGCATAGGATAAACTGTCGAAAATTGCATAATGTTGACACATACCAGAGTCTCTGTGCCTCGGACCATTATTCTACAGCACAGAAAACACTTTCCTTTGGAGGCACATCAGCAGGATTCTGTTTCAGGGCAGCCAGAGGTCCAGTCTGAAGAAGAGCGCTCACTGTGGGCCAGCCAGCAGTTTGGAAATTCAGGTGCTCGTCCAGTTCAGAGCTTTGGAAAAGAAACAGCCATTACTCCGATAAATTTGTGTTGGGAGCTGTCCTTGGTCCTGCCCGGCACGATTCCCTCTTCCTGAGCCATCTGGAATCTGGATAGGGGCTACCTTCTTTCTTATTCATACCATGAATCAGTTTTTTTCTAGGCTTTGCTTAGCCCCTTGTGGGGTTTGCAGCTTTACCAGACATATGATTTTAAAGAGGTGGTTGTTTATCGCTGAGTCTAAATGCCAGCGTGAGGCAGTCATTACCAGAGAGACCTAGGTTCAAATCTCCACTAAGTCATGAAGCTCACAGCATGACCTTGAATGAGTCACAGGGCTGTTGTGAGGATAAAATGGAAAAGTGGAAAACCGTCGACACTTCCCTGAGCTCTTTGAGGATGGGTGAGAGAGAAATGTCAGTGAGAGCGTCTGAGACAGCTGTGACAAAGGGGCGGGGGGGGGGATGAAGCAGGAAGCACAGTTGACTGAGGACTCCTGTTCCTTTGTGCATTTCCATCGCATCCAGAAGCCATCTTATAATTCCTGCTTAGTGTACACAGAACAAGCTCCCTGAGGACAGTTTACATGTATCCTGTGTCTAGAACAAACCAGGTAATGACTCTCAGCTGATAAACAAAAGCTGAACCTTGGCATCATTCCGGGTCTTAGTGCTCCAATAATTTTGAGCATTGGCTTTAAGGCCTATTTCATCATCCAGGTTGGTCTGAATACCTGTTTCTACAAAAACCCTTAAAGTTTCCTTGAGTTATTGATGAATGCTTGACGAATGCACATAAAAATAGCCCAGGCTCACACAGCACAAAGTCTGAGGGGGCAATTGCAGGCCTTTCCCTGACTATTTTCA